AAAAAAAAAAAAAAAAAAAAAAATGTATAAATGATCGTATATTTCTGTGTGAATAAATTTTAGTTTCAGAGAAGTGTACATACTTTTCCTGTTCTTTCTCAGCTTCTGTCCTTCTCTTTTCTAATAATTCTCCATAAAATTTACTTTGATCTCGTTTCTGTGCTTTAATGTCTATCCCAGCAAGATTTCCTCTACCAAAGAATTGTACCTGATGCCTTTCCTTGTATATACTATTATAATCAACAGAGGTGTCTTCTGAAGTATCCCAATCAAATACAAATTTTCTGTCATTTAATCTTCGAACACGTCGTTTCTTCTTCACTAATCCTAAATAACGTTCTTTAATAGCTTCTACTTCTTTTTCCTTGTCCTTATCCTTAATTTCATCCTCTCTTGTACGTTGATTATCTCTACGTCTGTTTCAAAGATTATTACAATATGCATCATTATTTCATGAATTTGATTTAGATAAGTAAACGTTATAGATACCTATCCCTATCATCCCACTCCCTGTCTTTCCCAGTATTTTCACTATGCAAAGATTTACGTAAGTCTTCCTGTTGCCTTCTCATTGCTTCAACCTCTTCTTGTCGTTTTTGTATGGCCAAAGCAGCACGTTCTTCTTTAGTTAGAAATTTTGGCTTAGCACGTGCTTCTTCTTCTGCCTTCTTCTTAGCCAGTAATTCTTCTAAACTTAGCGGTTCTTTCTTTGGAGGAGGCTTTGGTTTTTCCTCAACTTCCTCCTCCTCTTTCTTTGGCTCAGTTTTATTCTCCTTTTTATTCTCATCTTCTATAACAAATATAGGACTTGGTTTACGCTTTTTCTCGTCTTTTGATTTGTCTTTGAACTCTCGTCTCTCCCTCGATCTGTCCCTATCCTTTTCGCGTGATCTGTCTCTTTCCCTTGATCTTTCACGCGATCTTGAACGTTTTCTGTCCTTTTTCCGATCCTTCGATCTGCTTCTTGATCGTCTTCTATCTCGTCGTTCCCGATCTCTTTCACGTTCACGTTCTCGTTCACGCGATCGACTTCGCCTTACGGTTTTCTTGTCGTGAGCCATTAAAAATTCTGCAAATGAAATTACTTAGTTGCGCTTAAATTAATCATCTGAAAGTATTAATCATTAACGTATTTCTTTGAGAGGTTATACAAGCAAAGCCGTAAATATTCATTATTTTTTCGATGATAAACAGATAACAAAATAGATATTATATATCGTTATATTAATAATTACTTTCTACAACAACATTACATTATAAATATTCATAATAAATGTACAACATTTGGATTATGTATTGGCAAATATCACAATGAAGTATATGATATAATTGTCAAGTATATTTTTAAAATTAGAAAATGCCGATAAAAAATAAAATTTTTCTACTAAAAATGAAAGATAATAACCTCTGAATTAAGCAAAAACTTGAACATAAAATTGCACTTGTATACAAACATGTACAATTTACAAGTGTAACGACTATGGTTAACTTTTCACTGCAAGCGACGTGATTTCATAGTTCCCATGTAACAAAATAGCAATCGTTGAGCTATATAATTTATCTAATATAAACAATTCTTGATACAATAAATGCAAATTATAATATATTTAAATGGCGAAAATGATTATTTTATTGAATTGGAGTGATTGCACAATTTGTTGCAAATCTGTATTATTTGGAATGTAAAAAAACATAATGCATTTAAAAAGGACAAATATAAATGAAAAAAATTTATTTTTCAAATTTATTTCGAATATTTTCTTTAACTGTAATAATTATTTTTATATAATCATATGCGGTTTTCGAATAATTCATATTAAAATATTACCTAAAGAGAGATGTTCCTAAAATTATCATGAAATTACTTTACTCAAGTTTAGATATAAAGATTTATTAGAAATTTATTTTTGCCATAGTATAAAATTGTTGAAAATATTCTACAATAAAATGTATTGAATTTTTGCCGCCAATTGTGATCGGGATGCTTTGTAACGATTGGGCAATGTGATGCGAAATTTGGGCCAATAGAAGCGAAGCATCGAGTGACCACGGGAAGGCTCAATAAAGGGCGCTAGTGTCCATCAAGTGTCACAGCCGTTGCTTGTCTCCTCAGTATTGTAATTTAAATCGGTGATTTAATTAGGAGTAACGTATTTTTTTTCTAGAATTTGTGAAACATTAAGCAATAATGACCGACAAGAAAGGTAATTATACATCATAATCGTGTAATACGATTAGCAATATGTGTTATACACATTAAGAGTATCTCGTGTTTTCAAGTCGAGAATACCACTTGTCACTCGTACGACGGTGAATTTTTTTATGTTAGCAATGCTATCCGACACCTGTGAAGAACGGTGCACGTTCAAATTCGATCGGAATTCGTATCATTATTACAGATAAGAAGCCTCGTTTCAATGCGACGAGAGAATCTTGAATTTCTGCCCAGTGACAGATAAATCAATACCGCATTGTGTGTGGGAAATACAAAATGGCTTCCAGAGTTCGTCTTGAATAATTTTCGCGATGACTCTCTATTAAAAATCGTATACTACTTAAAACAATGTAACTTTATCAGATGTTATCGGTATTATTAATTTCATATCACACACAGCTTTATTCCTTGTGTTATATTTCATCAGCTGCTGTGTTTTGTATGTATCTTGAATAATGTACGCTTTATGCGTTCAAGAAAAATTTGATCGAGCTCAAAAAAAAAAAAAAAATCATTATCGTTGAGTTTTATCGCGTACAATTATTTTTTTTCTGAGAATAAAAGTTTCAAATTCCGAATGAAAGAATATTTTTTTTACATCTGAAAAATATTTTTTATATTTGACAAAAAATATTAAAACTTTTTATTGAAAATATATACTTTAATATTTGAAATTTAAAGTTATTAACAATATTATCGTGATAAAAAAGGCATGGTATCTTTTTATCAATACATGTCTAATTTGGTTTCAATTAATATACCAAAAGAAGAAAAGATAGAAAACAAGTGTAATATATAATAATAGATATGTAACAATAGATTTCTGGAAGCTATTTTCTCTTTTTATTTTATTTTGTAGCGCTTCTAGATATATGAAGAATAATAGTGGATAATTTTGTTCAAACGCAATCATATTATTTTTCTGATTTATAATTAAAGATACACGAACAATATAATTTTGATGAATTAAAATCTTAAAAAGCATTTTATTTAAGAGTCATCAAACATTAATTTCAAATTATAATTTTTTCACATCTACAAGGTGTTTTAATTTCAATGAATACATCATGAAATAGATATCGTAGAGGAGTGTTTGAAGTTATCTCTTTTTTTTTGTAATTTCCAAAAATGTATCAGTATATACATATATATATATACACACATATACATACATACATACATATATATATATATATATATGTAGATTATGTATAACATTTAGTAGAAGCTTTTATAAAGAAGCTGTTTAATAACTCGTACGAGTGAGGTATGTAATTTTAATATACTACTGACTTTTCGAGTTTTTTTTTTTTACGTATTGATGGAAATATTTAATTGACGTACAGCTTGGACCATGACTACATGATTTTATAGTAATCTACTATTGTACTTAATTAACAGCTCGGACACTTATGTGATTATTCCTAATTCAGTCCGCTCTGTTCCTAAGGCAAATGTATGATTACAGAGCAATAGCGTTTAAGGGATGTGTAAAAGTTTAGTCTGTAAGTAGATCAGTATTACATTGTTAATGATTACGACGAAAAGTAATATGAGTAAATTGTGGATTATACTGGTGCAAATCTGCGAGCATATTACCGTGACGGTATAGCCGCTAAAAAACCGAAGGATAGCGCCTACAGTTGTGGCTGTCAATATGTTTGCAGCGGACCATTACAAAGACGATTTGATCCCAGTCAGTAGGTGGAGCTTCGGAGACCGGCGTTCGCGCAGCCTAAGCCACGTATCTAACCTCACCTTACTCTATATATTACCTAACTCACTACGTGTTTATATACCAACATATATTACGTATACACATACACATATACCGTACATACATACATACACACAGATATACACACACACACATATATATATATATATTCTACAAAATATATATATGAAGATATAGAGGCACCGTGCGCCTCCCGATTCAAAAAGTGAAGAAAGAACGAAAAAAGAGAACTATCGAACATCGAATCTCCCGTATTTTCCCGCCTTCGATGTTTCAAGCGATCGAATTTCATCTCCAGACCTCTTCTATTCCAGTATCCCTATTGTCATTAATTCTCATTAGCCTGACCGTAATACCAAGAGATCGTGGAGTGCCTGGTTTGTAAAAGAAATCATTGAAAAAGCATATTACAAATATTATGAGAAAATCGTGGGAATGCCGCGTGAATTGAATCAATCGCCCAATAGACTAATGTCAGTTTCCTCATTTTTCCAGGCCTACGTTGGTTATTAATCCACGATCATCAGGTATTAAAGGATCGAGAAAATCCGTTCCATGTGTTAAGAGATTGCTTGTCGAAAATCTGCCGATCGAAAGAAAGCAGAAGTGTAGTGTACGAGTACCGCACGCTTTGTGTACAGTTGAACAACGAACTCGTACTCTCCCGATCGCGTAAAAAGTTTAATCGCAGGCTTTCCGAACGAAGCTGTCATCTCGCGATATTAGAAAAACGAAAAAACACTCGTAAAACAGAGATCGCTTAGGATCATCAATGGTACTTGTAAGTCTTTCTGTGAATGAGTTTAAACACATGATGAGAAAGTTATACTTTTTGAATTGGAGACGTCGGCTGCTATATATCCAAATCAATATGAACGTAAGATATTGATATGGGTGTACAAATATTTCGTAATGAAATCGTGGTATTG